TGGTTATGGGGATTGGTCGCAGTGGTGAGATGATATTTAGAGATGAGGAATGTCACAACTAGCAATTTGGGGCTTAGATTGTGAAGCTTGTACACAACAATTTCCTCCATGTAACATTGTTGCATCTTATTAGTGAAATTCAAACTACAATGTTATATGAAATCATATGAGCATATGTTTAGAATCAAGTTGAAATAACCTCATGCAAGCCCAAAACATGATCCAATAGCTAAGCCTAATCAATTTTGGGCCTCAGCCCAAGAATTCTCGACCCAAACACTCTAGGCTAAAAACCCAATTCCTTTGGGCCTTATTAGACCGAAATATCTCTTATTGGGCCCATTTAAGCCCAAAAGCTCATACACATTCCAAACTGAAACCCCAATTAAGAACATAGGGTGTTTTTGGCCACCCTAAAATTGAAAACCCCCTTGAAAATCCTCTAAGGCCGAAAACCTCCGAGGATTTTGATTGGGAGTCAAGGCAAACAAAAAATAAGAGAAAAGAAAAGCAAAAACCTTGACACCTCATGACTTTTCACTCTTATAACCATAGAACAACCAAGCTAAACCTTGAATTAACCTCCATGCCTCCATGCAATACCTACAATTATCCCCCCCCCCCCCCCCCCGATGAAACAAGGCACTCATCTCCTCTTTCCTCTTATACATACGGCCGAACAAACACACACACAGACACACACCTCAAAAATTCATTTTTCACTCACTTCACTCTCAAGGCATTCCTCCCATCTCTCTCTCTCTCTCTCTCTCTCTCTCTGTAACGCCCGTATATCCGGGCTAGTCAATTTAGAGATAATAGGGGTCGAAAATGACTTTTCGACAAAAGATTATTTAGAATAAATAATCTTAACCAAGTTTTATAATATGTCTCAAGGGTTTCATACATATAAAGAACGCCAAAATCCAAGTTATAACAAAGAAGTTATGGCCCGTCGAAATTTTACGGTAAAACCGGCATGGCACCGGGAGACGTAAATAGTGAATTTTTGATAAAGGACTTTTTAGCCTTAATGGTCTAAATAAAAGTTGTAGTATGTGTTAAACTGAGAATATGCAAAAAAAAGAACGCCCAAATCTGACTTCGTATGAGGAAGTTATGAATTTTCTAAGATTTGGCATAACAGTGCACGATCCGAAACTCGAATTTTAGTTCGAGCAGTTTTTGGCCTACGCAACCTAAATGAGAATTGAAGATCTCACTAATAGGAACTCAACGGTAAAAATACAGACGAAAACAGAGTCCTTATGTAGAAGTTATGAATTTTACGCGAACAATTAACAGTATAATCTCCTCGTACTGTTAAATTTAAGATCGGTCGAGAATTAGCCGACGGTGTCAAAATGAAAGTTGTAGATCCTATTTTTACCTACGCGTGAATATAAAGAAACTCAAAAACGGAGGTCGTATGTGAAAGTTACGGATTTTAGAAGTCGGAAGTGTCTTCTGAGAAAATTGGTGATGTGGCACAATCTTGGTCATTCCTTTCTCCCCAAGTCTTGCCACTAGATGGTGACATGTGGCACCAAGTTCAGCCATTTTTACCCTATAAATAGAACCCTCTCCCTCTCTATCTCTCTCTCTCTCTCTCTATATATATATATATATATATATATATATATATATATATATATATATATATATATATATATATATATATATATATATATATATATATATATATATAGAGAGAGAGAGAGAGAGCTAGGTCCAAAGTTTTGATTAGTCCCTACATCCACATAAAACATGTAGAGAACATATGAACCTCTCTCTCTCTCTTTATGTGTGTGTGTGTGTGTATATATATATATATATATATATATATATATATAGAGAGAGAGAGAGAGAGAGAGAGAGCTAGGTTCAAATGTTTCTAGCAAATATTGTGTTCCTAAGTGTACCAATCACAGTTTAGCAAATAATTAAATAATTTATTCAGTGAATAAGGTCATTTTTGGGTTTTTGACACATTCAATTATGGGATCATTTAAATAAATCCCTTTAATTAAGGACACAAAATAATTAATCTCACGTATTCTTCACCTACAAAAGAAGAAGAAATCGGATTCACAGTTTCGCTTCGTCTTCTCCACTGTCGCTGCTTCAAATAGCCAGCCAACACTACCAAGTGCCAACCACCACCTTCATCGGTTGTAAGTACCTCCTTAACATTTTTTGATGATCGTTTTACTATTGTCAATCAAAATCGTAGCCACAGAACCATTTATGCTTTTTTTTTCGATCGTATGGAAACCGAACACATGAGGTATACCCTCATGTGTAACTCATTTACTTTGCAAACTTTATTAAATAAAATGAACCCTCATCTATGAAATTTTAATCCAATTTCTTTTTGATTTTGATTTTGGAACACAAACATCAGTTTTTTAACCAACAAATAAGTATATATGTTTATAGATTCTATGTATCATGCTATATCAATTTCATAGTTTTTTTTTCTATTTAGATTGTTAGGTTTTTTAATGCATCTTAATGTCAATCATTCTTCTAGAATGGAATATTGAATTTAAATTTTGTCAGAATAGAATCTTGAATTCCTTGTCACCTTAAGCAGTGAACTATAGTAACCAATTCGGTCAGAATAAAATTTGTTCTTGTTCTTGTTATTGGTCTTGATTCTTATAGAATGACATCCTAAATAATGAAACACTACATTCTTTCAGAATAATACACATTGTAAGTTTAGGGATGATTGTTAATGTTGGTTTGTAGAAATTATAGTTACATTCTATTTAAATGTATATCACATTCTATTAGAATTTATTGTTTTATTCTATTTAATGCACTAAAAATTTTAATATTTGAAAGTTGATTATGTTTTCCTTGTAAATTTAGATTTTGAAGAGGTTGTCATTAATGTGGAAAATGAAGAAAACAAGGAGAGCGATATTATATTCTAACATAATTTATAAATTGTTTCTTAACAATAATATTCTTTCGGAATAGAGTAATGTTTTTGTCAGATTTTGATGTTTTTTTTTTCTTTTTTAACCAATTTTAGTTTTAATCTTTAAGAATAAATGTAATCCTTAAACCATTATTAATCATAATTTTTTTAGAATGATTGTAATAATTGTTTATAGTCTCTTTCTTAACTGATGAATGTAAATAATGATTCTTAAAGAATAAAATCTGTATTCTTTAGAAAATGTTGTTCTTGATAATATATTGTATTATTCTTTAAGCATGTTTAATATAAAAAGTATCTTGAATGAAAACATATTCTGCAAGAATAAAACCGCAAATATAGTTACTACTTTATTGTTGACTTTTTGTCATTCTGACAGAATAAAATCAATTATTATTAAAAGTAATACTAAAATTTAATTAGAATTAATTTAAAAAATTCAAATTTTTTTAAAATACGAAATTAATGATCCCTTAAAATCCGAAAATTTCCTTTTTTAAAATAGGTTAATTGACCAAAATACAATTTTGCTAAAATTTATGTGATTATATGATACATGCTACCCTCTTGTAATATCATAGATCCTCAGATCATGATTGTGTATTCTATTAATGCAGTGGTCCAGATCTTTGCATCCTGTCACACAATAGTTAGTGAAAACAAAATAACCTAACTATATATATATATATATATATATATATATATATATATATATATATATATATATATATGAACAAACATCATAAATGGTCCCTATGGTTTCCGAAAATCTAAAGTTTAGGCCCCGTCGTTTAAAAACCTTACAGATGGTCCCTATGCTTTCAAAACTTTTGACAGATGGTCCTTATCCCTCACATCCTTAGAACCCCACTATTAACTCTTATTTCATTAAAATAATATAAGGACAAATCGGTCTTTTCATTTGTGCCCTCTTCTTTATTGAGTGAAATGATTATGCCACTATCTTCTTCACGTCAACTCCCAAACACTCTTCATCTCCCAAGAGTACAGTGACTTCGTCTTCAACAGATCACTCTCATCTAAGAAACGAAATTGGGGTTTAGAGTTTATACAATAATAAAGGACAATGGTTCTGTCAATATGGTGTTTATAAAAAAAAATGCGTGCTTGAAGGACTTGCAATCGAGATACGGTAAGATTTTTCATAAAAAAAAAAAAAAAAAAACTTTAGTTTTTGTTTTCCTTGAATGTATTCGTGAAGATAAATCATCTTCTTTACCCTTTCTATTTATGTGTTTGCAGAGGGATATGATAACTATTTCACGTTGAGGATACACTATAGTGGTGTCTTCACCAAGTCACCTAGAAGGAAATACGTCGATGGTACTGTATCATATGTAGATGACGTTGACACTAATTTATTTTTACTCCATGAACTCAATGACATGGTTACAGAATTAGGGTACAGAGGTGAACAAACTCTTTACTAACATTTCTGTATCCCTGAATTTCCCTTAGACTACGGGTTATTTCCTTTAGGTAATGACCAAGATGTTCTTAAATTGGTTTTGTATGTTCCTAAATACAGACTTGTAAAGGTCTATATTTAAATTGGTCAAACTAGGGTAGCTAGTTATTTTAAGTCTCCTTCCAAAGTTGTTATTGAGGAACTGGAACCTGAGAGTGTGTCACCAGAACTTAATAGAAAAAACCCTTGTAAAAGAGAAGTAGAACCGTGTAGTAAAAAGCATGAGTTAGACCACCCTACCAACCATGTTGTTGACCAGTCACAGGTAATACATATGGATGAAAGTCAGGATCATTCAAAGACTATTGTTCCATATATTATGTCTCAAGTTAGCCAACGAAGTAATGTCATTGATGTGAATGAAGGAGTGATCATGGGCCACATAGAAGAAGTGTGTAAGGGTAATTTAGGCAATCTTGCAGAAGAACCAATTTGTGAATATATTGATGGACAACAAAGTGTAAGAGTCGATGAATTTGAAGCGTTTATAGATGATTATTCAACTTATACTAACTTTGATGTTGAGTACAGTGTACAAATGATGAATATAATCAAGTAGAAATGGAAATTCTAGAGGGTATGGTAAGTGATGATAGTGGAGATGCTTTCTATAGTGAGAATGGAGATGGTTCTGATTATAGTGGAGATGATTTTGATGACAGTGAGTACATTGTACATGAGTCTAACTTGCAACTTGATGTGGATGTATACATGAGTGAATTCCAAAGTGTCGTGGATGTAGATGAACATGGAATTTTAAACAAGCAAACCGAAAGTATAGGGAATGACATAGTTGACGAAGAGTTGGAGGTTATTCAAAGTGATGATTATCAGTATGCAGGATTTTATGAAGATGAAATGACAAGAATGCTTAAGGAATTGAGTAGGTCAACTCCATGCTCACATGGGGAGATCCATTGAAAATCATATAGGGTGCGGTAGTGTTTCAAAACAAAGAAGGAAGTTGTTGACTACATGCATTCACATGCTGTAAATACAAGGAGGTCCCTATACTTAGAAAAAAATGATAAAATCCAGATATGGGTTAAATGTGGAGGTGTTGTTGGCCAATCTACTGAAACAGTTCAATGTGGTGGGCCATCAACTAGAAGTAAGGTAAAGTGCAAGGGACAATCTACTGAAACAGTTGAATGTGGTGGGCCACAACTAGAAGTAAGGTAAAGTGAAAGGGCAAAAATGTGATTAGTAAAAAAAGAAAATGTCCTTGGGCAGTCCAAATATCGAGGCCAAATGAGAATAAGGATTGTTTGCTGAAAACAGTACACGATGTCCAAACATGTTTGCAGACAAGATCAGTTAAAGCTTGTACTTCCAAATATTTAGCAAACTTAATTGTTCCAAAAATTCAAAGTAACCCTAAAATTCCAATTAAAGCTTTACACGAGGAGTTGTGTAAGAAGTTGGAGCTTTGTATGTCAGTTCAAAAGGTTGCTAGGGCAAAGCAAATGGTTGAACGTGTGATCAGTGGGGACTACCAACTTCAATATGGGTATCTGAGAGATTATGATTTGGAACTGCTAAACACTAATCATGGTTCAACTGTTAGTATAGAAGTGTATCCTAAACCATGCTTGTCGACTACTACAAGAACTTTTAGAAGAATATATGTATGTCTAGGTGCATTGAAGTTGGGATTCAAAGTTGGGTTAAGGGATTTCCTGGGAGTTGATGGTACATTCATGAAAGGCCCATATCCTGGGTAGGTACTAACTGTTGTGGGTCTAGACTCAGATAATGGAATATACCATGTAGCATACGCAGTGATAGAGGCTGAAGTGTGACATCCCCAAAATCATGGCCAGAAAAGACCGATTTTGTTTATGCTTTATAAAAATCAGAGTACTTCTTTTCATAAAAATGTTGCGGAATTTGTTCCCAGAAAAATAAGATAAATATGTTATCAAAACATTTTCGAAGAAACATATTTTATTTATGTTAAAATGTTCGGGATGTCATCCTCAATACAGAAACATAAGCATAAACAGAACTTACATTTATTTACATTTTACACTAGTGGTCTACATCTCTTTAATCTCTCAGTGTGACTTCATATCAATACCTGTGATGTAAATAAACTTAGTGGGTCAGGTTGGGAAACCTGGTGAGTACATAGGGTTTTCAACCCACAATAATATAATTATTATGTTTAAACGATCAAACAATCAACCCAATTACCCATCCCCATTATCTTCTTTGATCTTAAGGATCTACCCTAAGAATCAGCTATTTCTTGTTCATTTATTCCTAAGGGTTATCCTAAGGAATTGGCACGAAATCCATCGTTGCCAAGGTTTACTCAACGGGCACTAAATGCATAGTTCCCAAGGTTTATCTCGTTTATTGACAGTATCGTTTCTGAGACTCATCTCGTTTATTGAAAGTATCGTTTCTGGACTGTCAGAATAGTCCGTGGTTGTCATCCATACTCTACTGGATGACGGGGCCATCAATTGGGAAAAAGGCTTCTTTCATGGTTCACCTCTCACCCTTACCTCATGGTCTATATTACCTCTTCCTCATTTTATTTTTGTCACATAGAAACTATTTCATCTACCCATGTTTTACCCAACACATTTTGTAGATATAAAATACATATACAGTTTAAATCATTGAAAAATGTATAAAACGTTCATCCAGCATAGATAGCAAGTATACAGATAATATGCACACATAGCACGTAATTTATATAAAATACTTCATATATATGTGTAAGATGAAAGTAACTATACAGTCACTTGATTAGCTGGTGACTCAGCACTCGGACAGCGCTTCGATACTCTTAAAACGATATTCCTTCGATAAAACCTAGTACCAATACCACTAGGGTTTAGTCTAACGATAACTGCGACAAATTAATTAGTCTGGCTATTATTATGCGTTAATAACACTTAATATAACTCATAATAACAGCCCAAATAATTATTTTAAGGACCTAATAACATTCCTATAATTATTTGAAAGCTATATTAAATATTGCGTAAGCGTAGCACACTTACAGCGAATTTTATCGAAAACCGGAACTTAATTGGAGCAGCGTTTCAAAACCGAAAAACTCCTTTTTCACGGGACTCCGGGAGCCTCGGGGCTTCCCTAGGGTGCTAAGGGGTTTTTCTAGGTTTTAGGGGGGTTTAGATGAGCTAGAGAGAGAAACTAGTGAGAGAAAGAAGTGGATTTGGAGTGAAAAACTCGGAATGGCTCGCAATGTATTTATAGCCCCAGCAGCCTCGGACTACGCGGCGCATCCAGCAGCCACGCTGGGCGTAGTCTCGGATCAGACCTCCAGGTGGCGAAGGCTCGGTAGTGCGATGTGGCTTCTTCTGGACCGAGAATGGCTAAGCGAACGCGGTGCGTATGAGACCGAACGCTGGGCGTAGCGAGGGGCGATGTGGCGTTGATCAGAAGCGAGCCTTGTCATCGGCATCGAACGGTTGTGGTGCTGCCACGTCAGCTACTTCGCACCAGGTCTCGCAACTTCACTTTATAACTTTAAAAATTCGTAACTTTTGCATACGAGCTCTGTTTTTGACGTTCTTTATATCCACGTGAAGGTGGGAACGTAATCTACAACTTTTGTTTAGACTCCATCGGGTAATTTTGACTCAATTTTAAATTTTATATTATTAATGGGTCGGGACAGGATTGGTCCGTTAAATCCTCATAACTTCTTTATCCGACATCCGTTTTCGCCCATCTTTTTCTCGTTACGCTACTCTTAATGAGATCTTCGATTCTCGTTTAGGTCATGTCGGCTAAAAACCGCTCGATCAAATATTCGAATTTCGGGTTGTACACTACTAGTCCGAAACTTCAAAAAATGATAACTTCTTCATACGAAGTCAGATTTGGGCGTTCTTTTTATCGATGTTCTTATTTTAACATATTCTACGACTTTCGTTGAAATTTCTAAGGCTAAATCTCGCTCTATCATAAATTCATTATTTTACGCTTTCCGGTATCGTGCCGGTTCTGACGCGAAACTTCGACGGGTCATAACTTCTTTGTTATAACTCGGATTTCGGCGTTCTTTATATGCACGAAAACCTTGTAACATGCTCTACAACTTGGTTAAGATTATTTATTCTAAATAATCTTTTCTCGAAAAGTCGTTTTCGACCTCTATTGCCTCTAAATTGACTAGCCCGGATCTACGGGCGTTACATGAAGCAACTAGTTCTTGGACCTGGTTCATGGAACTATTAAGAGAAGAGTTGGAATTGGGAGCAAATTCAAATTTTACCTTCATTTTTGATAGACAAAAGGTATGTTTTACCTAATTATTTCTCACGATAGTGTACCTTACTTTCTATTTTTATAAATGAAACTGGCTATATTTGCATTTGTTAAGGGGATAATACCAGCAGTTGCAAACGTATTCCCCAATGCAGAACATAGGTTTTGTTTGAAGCATATTCAGGAGAATTTGAAGAAACAATGGAAAGGAAAAGAGTTGAGTGACTTGGTTTGGGAATGTGGAAGAGAAACAACATTAAATCACTTTAAATATGCAATGGATGAGTTGAAAAAATGAATGATGAAGCTCATTCTAGCTTGTGTAAGATTCATGCAGAGACATAGTCTAAATCTCACTTTAGTGGTATCTCATTAAGAAGTTGTTGAGTTGTATGTTTTAATATAAAATTTGTAATTTCACTTTTTGAATATGTTTTTCACAGGTAGGGCACACATTGATTTTTTGTAAAACAATATTTGTGAGGTATTCAATGCTAAGAGAAAGGCAAGTAGGGATAAACCAATCATCACCTGTTGAGAGTATATTAGAGAGTATCTCATGAAGAGATTGTGTGTTGTGCACAATGAAATAGATAAGTGTCAAGGGGAACTAAGTACTACTGCAACTATAATTTTAGAGGAGATTAAGACTCAAGCAGAAAAGTATATAGCTAAGTATATGTGACATCCCTAAAATCACGGCTAGAAAAGACCATTTTAATTTATGCTTTTAAAATAATTTCAGAATAAATCATTTTGATTTAAAAGATTTGCGAAATTTGTTACCAAAAATAAAACATGATAAAATAATATTTACCAAATCATTTCATAAAGAAAGGTATTTTCATTATATAATCAAAACTAGGGAAGTCATGTTCCGATATAGACACAGAAGCATAAACAACAAACGATAGACCATACAACAGTTACATATAACAACTGGTCTAACAAACAAAATAACTTGATGATTCATCCATCTTATTCCCTCGCGCCACTACCTGTAATACAAATAAACTAAGTGGGTCAGGCTTGGGAGCCTGGTGAGCATATAGGGTTTTCAACCCACAATAAATAATTATAATTAATTTCACCAACCACCAATAAGCCGATTACCCATTCCCGTTGTCCTCACTTTACATGCCTAAAACAACATCTATCTCAAGGAACCTAATCTAGGAATTTCATCGGGACGGACATTATCGCTAAGGGGTTTCCTCAACAATAGATGTCCTAAAGGCAACCATGAGGAGGATAGAGTACACCGATGAACACATCGTTCACAAAACCTACAGGTTATGAGCCTGCAAGCGTTCCACAGGACTGTATAGAAAGAGTCTGTGGTCGTTATCCATACTTCGCTGAATAACTAGATCAACAACAACAACATCGATGCCTCTCATTTATTTATCACACATCAACTATCTACCCATGTTCTAACCAACATATTAGTAGATAAAAATATATATTTTTATACATAGTTTAAAACCTGTATAACATTCTCATAAAATACATATTCCAAACAACAGATGAGACACATACACATAACACGTATTTCATAGAGAACAAATCATATCTATGAGACAGAAGAAAGTGAATATACATTCACACATATAACACCAAAATATACACATAACACGTATTTTAAATAAGATACTTCATAATTATGCTTT